TCGGTAATTAACTCTTACATAATTCTACATGTTACTTTCAGTTGATCCATGTTTGCTCAATCCCTGTTCTAGTGGACCTTCCTGCAGGAACATTGACGAGAAACATTCCTGCATCTGCCCTGATATAACTGAACAACCATGTACTGAACGTAAGTATTTTTTWAAATATAAAGCCTAAGGGATACTGCGTAGGTTTATGTTATGCCAATTCTGTATGAATAAACGCAGTCGAAACATGACCTCGGTGAGTAAAGTCGCATTTCTTGATGGCAGAAGCGTTTGAGAACAATAAGGTCAAAAAATATTCTATTAATTTTAAGCCTGCTGTATTCTTTTGATTTTGGAGCAAATAGCTTGGGCGTCAGTRATACTTTGCCCATTTCAGACCATGTGTAATTCCCTATCATTTCTTAACTGTTGCACATGAAAAGACACATGAATATGAGTACAACAAACAAAAAATTTTATTCTCAAGAATATGACACGTGTYCTGAAATGGGAAAATATTACAACCAAGCTAAAATATTCTATAGATGTTAAGGCCCACACAYCATATACAAAGACCGTTCAACCGACCTTTTTACTTTGGGTGTTTCCATCTTAGACCATGAGTAATATTCTTTGTTTGAGTTGAATCCATATTCATAAATGTGTTTTTTCATGTGCAACCAAGCTCAACCGTTATTCAAACAAAGAAATGATACTCTAGGGAATAACACATGGTATAAAATTGGAAACATTGCCCCCAACCCCAAAAGATCTATAATTCAGCTTAACTTGCCCAATCTTAATCTTTTTATAAATGTGTGAATAAATATAACTGCACAGAAAAGTGTACGTTTTTCTTTAACCGTTTTGCGAAATGTTATTTGACAGACTCTCGYATTTACCCTTGTGTTGATCGATCCGATGACTGCGGGATGTTTGCAACTCAARCCGGCTACTGTCAGTACCACAAGAGATACATGATGTCCATGTGTGCCAAGTCGTGCAACTTTTGTGGTAAGTAATGCAACATTTTGCTTTGAATGAGATTTTTAATATTGACTAAAATGACTCTGGGGTATGATGACGCCACCTCAACAAACAAACGTCAGATATTTCAAAAGAGGGTTTTGCACCATCACGTGACGACAGCCATGTTAGATGGCAAGAACAATATAATAGTTTTACATGAGAAATAGCTCAATTCCCAAGAGCAAAGGAATTTTATTGTTCTGCTATCTAACTACAGGCAGTCCAAGCAGTATTATGGGATGGGACACGTTATGGTGCAAAACCTCTATCACCTTTTGGATGGAGGATTTTAAATGACGATTAATCGGGACCGCTTACTGCGGTGTTCCGCGATGGACTCGAGACTGATGTCATCAGTTGAATTATTGAGAGCGAACGAAATCACTGCTCATTTAATCAGACTGCTCGTTAACAGCACGTTCACGGTCACGGCACGTCCGTACCGTTCGTGTTTCGCAGTAATACACAAACTGCTCTTTTTCTAAAAAGATTTGACACCTCTCGAAAAACTGAGCAATAAGCCTTTCAAAAACAGCCGAAAGGTTACGAAGGCGTTATTAGTAAATATAGCTACCAGTATCCAAAATATATCTCACGTCCAATATGGCCGACAGTGGAATTTATCCCGACATTTTTGAGGGTGCGCGTGCCCAACGTGTGCACTAAGAGAATATATGAAGGCATGTATATCATAATCTTAACTTGATAACCTGGTTTCCTCGGGACATTTAAATTGATTTTGTCGCAGGACAGAAACATGGCGGTAGTTCGTTGTTCAAAGTGTGGCGTCATGATATCTCAGAGTCTCCCCGTGTAAATCCTGTACCATTTGTTCTGAGGAGATGATCAACTTATGTTAATAATATACTAATGTTTTAATTTATATCAATAAATATTAATATATTAATATAAAAAATAAATGCATGAATCTAGAGTGGTAAAATAATCTCAGCACATGTAAACCAGTCCATGCACCATAAACGGTAATTAACGAGTCCGCTCGCTTTGCTTTGCTTCGTGCAATCCTGGATTGAAAGCGTTCACGTCGTAATTAAAGGCGTGTATTCTTAGAGGTAAACAGGCAAAACAACTGAGATGATCTGATACGTTAAACTTGCGCTATTATGGTACTGCGCATGCGCAACATGATGTACCTCGCTGACCCAGAAATACCAAATCATATTTTACAATTTTAAGTTGCTCAGTACTGGAAGCTTGGATGAAGATGCTTGCTAGTCTCTTTTATTTTTATTATTTTTTAACCATTCTTTTCATTACATTTTTTTTCATTTTCCTCCTGACGTTGCATTGTGGATGTCCTTATTTTTCCCTTCCTTTACATGATGTTAGTTTTCAAATCCTATTCGACTAGATACAGTCTTTCTTACATCTTGACACTCTCTCATTTTCTCCCCTTAATTTATTGCTTTTCTTCTCCCTCATCTATCTACGACACGCTGCGATTTTGCAGCTTTGATTTTTAAAGCCTCAGAAAATTCTAATGATAAGCAGCAAACCTTAAAAGTATGGTTGTTGCATAAGAAATAAGCTGATTGCACGTGGCATTATTTTAATGTGCATGATTGAAGAGAATTGCCAATGGCGGCACATATAGTAACAAAGGGCTGCCTACAAAGCTGTATAGCTTGTCGCATGCTTATTGAAAATACTACTTCCTATATCAATAAAGCTGTGGGATCTTTACGATTCCTTTATCAATGTATGAAGATATTACACTTGTAGACAGACGGATATAGTCTGCTTAGGTCTTAGCTCGTTATTGGTTGAATCACCAGTCACTGBGCCTGCGCGCTTGCCAGCCACTACCATACCATATCATAGTTGATTGACATCATCATTTTAATCATGTACTTGCATTCGTYATCACTAACACATGACTCATACTTTAATCCACGTAATGTTATGTAATACATTACCTTTCAAAGCGGCCTGATTGGTTCTGCTGGGGGTTTGACGTGGAGTCTGGGCCTGATAGGCGTGTCTGCTGTTCAGCTGTTCAGCGGTGTGTCTTTTAGGCTCCAGTCCACCACATCTCAGCGCCAGCAGCTGGCTGCGGTAACCAATTAACATCATCTTATCCTCTGTATAATTTAGAGTAACAAGAATTAATGCTCCTCAGAATAATTGATTGATTTTCGAATACTATTTCATGTTTCTAATCTTTATTTCGAAGTGTATTTACCGTTTTCATCTCGGCTTAATATTTTTAGTGYTTTATTTTTTCTAAATTGTCAATGACTTCTTTTCTCCTTGAATATGTATCAGAAGCGTAGTATTTTTTGTTATATTTAGCCCAGAAATGATGTTTTTTTTAATGACAGCATGTATGACGTAATTTCCCCACCCTATGACGTAACTTTATGTTTGCATGCGATAGCACACCCAAACTCACCCCCTCCCCCCTCGTCGTCCGTGAGCAATTTAATCCAGGATAAAAAACGTASCCGCACTTGGTCAACTTATGACGGCAACATAAAGAGCACCAACCACTGATCACGAATGGAGWTCAAAGACTAAGAACCTCTCACCTGTGAAGACCTCACTGAACACAATGCCAGAGCACAAACAGCAACAGAAGCCAAGAATGGACAKTCCTCACGTGACAATCACATGAGCACAACATGGCTATCACGTGCATGTAACTATGACTACGCATGATTGCACTGTTGTCAAGATACAAGCTCCAACTACTAGACCTCTGTAAATACTATGGTACTATTTTTGACATGATTTCAATAGACTTAATGAGATTTTGAGTTTTAACTTTGATACTCGACGTAGAAACCTTTACAAGGAAAAAAAACACGCACACACTGCTTTTATTTATTTGTAAAATTCATCAACTTGTTTCGATAATTATGTTTATTTGTTCGGATTCTATTTTTCATAAAACTCGTTAAATTACTACGGTTAGTCGTTCCGAGTTGGACTGGATTTTTTTATTAGAAATTAAGTATATCTAGACTTACATGCAAATAGAAGTTAAGAATTTTTAAGAAGTTAAGAGTTTTTCAAAGTCAAAAATAAAAACATACGCACAGAGTCATTTAGAAGAGATTTTCAATGTCAAAAAAACAAACAAACAAACAAAAACAAAAACAAAAACAAAACAAAAAACAAAACAAAAACAAGGAAAAACAAAAAAACAAAAAACAAAAAAAAAAACCGAACAACAAACAAATAAGCAAACAATGGAAGGTGATTTACCCTGCCAGGACTGATGTCCGTATAGAAAAAAACCGCACCTGAGGTCTTGAACTTCAAGGCCAAACGTTCATTTTTTCCATTTTCCACACTGACTTTAAGTTATTTTTTCCCCATTTCAATTTTTATTGGTTTTCATAATCTTTTTTGTTGTTTGGCAATATAGAGATAGAAAGTACCGCCTTCTCGAACAGCCAATCAGGAAGCACGATTCTTAGGATACGTACACCGGTCTGGGAAAAAATCGGAGCTTATTAAACCTGGACACAAATATTTGCTTAAAAAACGACTTTTAGAATATTAGTTATTTTTCAGAACCGATTAAAAATATAAGTTATGAATTCCTTMCAAATAGTATGATGGATAATTGGTATTAACTGGATTATCTAAATCTGGATCTTAGYTCTTTAAGGCAGTGAACTACTCAATACGAGCTGTTTCAAATATATACTTGTTTTGAACGCTAGACAAATGGACTGTACATGTCTTAATGATGTTTCTTAATGACAGTTTCAAAATCATTGAATGAGAAAAGACGTCAAATTTTAGCTCCAAATCCTTCATACAAACCCAGATATTATCTAGCGTCGTCCAGAAAGGTGTCTGTGAAAATAAGGGTTAAGATAATTTTGATAAGGGTATTGTGGCAATAATYGTAAAGATAGAGGTGTTTTTAAAAAGAAATTTCTAATCTTAAAACACTGGATTCAATAACCTTATAAACAATGGAAGCTTTTTTCGACCTTTTAATATTTTTTTCTCTGTYTCAATCCGAGTATCTTAACTCGCCGGAGGTCGAGTTATGTTTTCCTTATTAAAYTCAGTCATAATTCAGTAGATATAGCCTTGTTAATTTTTCATATTTCGTTTAGATTCCAAAAGACACGTTTTCCTTTAATTAAAAATAGTTTTCCAAGAACCAATTTACGGCGAACAAAGGATCAAGTTTACTCTTCATAAATAGTTTATTTACATAGGGCGGATAGATGAGTGCTTAGCACAGTGTACTTCACATCGTTTTACGCAGTTCAACTTCAGCTATTTTTTACTGTAGAAGCTATCTTAATCTTCATATGATCATTCAGGCGAATAACTTGAAAAAGAAAGAAAGCAGAAGGGTTGAAAATCCCAATTTGGTGCGAGTTTGGGAATTACAGCAGTGATAATTTTATATAATAATAATTTTAATAAATTTGATTTCTTAGCTTGTATACTCGATGAAAAATGACAATGGTTTCAGAACAAAAACTCTTATCTTCTAGATTGTTCTTTGAGTGAAAATTAAATAAGTTCGCCTAATATTTTGGATATTTTTTGGTCCTTTTTGACCATGTTGAAGCAAATAATAAGAATTTAATTAAAGAAATTCATTCGTTAGTTTAATCGTGTCCAATGTGTTTTTGGCAACATTTCCTTGTTAATATTTTGCATGACACATGCCAACGCAGAAGAAAGAACCGACCTCCAAAATAAAAGGTTAGCCTACACATCGAACGAAGGGCACTGTTGTGTTGCTCTGTCGGTGCTCTCATCCATTAATTATTATTTGATTATACTTCCCTGCATCGAAATATTTTCTGAATACTTGTGGTTTGAAGTAAGTTTTCATTATTAACGAAAAGTACGAATAAACTTGTTAATGGTGAATATATTTCTAGTGTTATTAAGAAAATTTTTTTCAAATAGCTCACACTTCTAATGCTAAACGACAACGAAAATTCTAGTACTCTAGAAATATCCGTTTTCCGTTCAATATAGTTCTGTAATTCTTAGCTCAAAGTCACGAAAGATATTTTCGCTTTTTTTACTGATTTATTTATTATTTTTTTGAAACYTCCCTTCAAAACACCTACTGTGTCTCTCTAATAGCATTTTTTCTCATTTATAGCATTTTTATTTATTGATGCCTTCAAATACTGCCTCTTTTTAAGCGAGTTAGTCCGAAGATAATTCTAGATGGTTTAGTTAGTTTGACTGCATAACATTTATCCGTGGAAAAAAAAACAAAAAAAACTAACTAACAAAATCGTACAAATTAGTGCAACGTTTCGTAGGTCTCTATAGCCTACTGATAGAGGTCTACTTAAATTACAAATTTATGCAAACTTATTGAATTTCTTCCAAAGTTCTTTTTCATGGTATGCACTCTAAACTATTGTTTGAAAGTACATTGAAACGTTTAGTATCGTTACAACGGGCAATGATATCACTTTTCTCTCAGAATCAAGCTAATTACAATACATTGAGAGATTAAAAAACAAAAACCAGCGGTGTGTCACGTTTGGAATTCACCAGCCCTAAGGGCTTTTGTATTTCTTAGTCAGCTGCGAATAGAGTAAGATTTCCTACGAACTAAAAATATAACTGCATGAGAGACTGTTATACGAGTGACTTACACAGGTAGTTAAAATACCAATTTATCGCCTTAAACTGAATATCAAAGATTTTATCGAATGGTAAGCGATTCGAGTCATAAATCAACATTTGAAAAAGTTTTGGACGATAAACAATGAATATATTTTGTATTTTGGCTTGGAAGGTGTTTTTCTTGCGTCGATCAAATAAATTACTTAGAAAAAACAAACTAGAAAAAAAAKGTCGGATATGAAACGACCAAAGTTATATTTGCTCACTGAAATCCTCCTATAAACACTAGAGTCAAAAGTAGAATAACTAATAAAAATATACAATTCATATTTTAACATGTAACTATGAAATCAATCATTTAAAGCAGTTTTCTGACATTGTTTTTTGCGYTTCGAAGCAAGATTCTTACAATTTCGTGACAGTATTTGCAGACGACTTTTCATTTTTCAATCAAGGACATTTCCCCCCGAAAGCCGTTTCTGTTTACTTTTACAAACGCTACGTTTCCTCACAAACACATATCTCTTTTTCCTCAAAAAAACTGAACATAGTTGTTTTAATGGCTTCCGTGATGCGTTTCATATTCTCAAATTAATGCTCCCTATTTCTCTCTTTAGATATTTCCAATTAGACTCAATTTAATCCAAAACACACAAACCAACAACCTAGAAAAATTATGCATAACCGATGAGAATTCTACAGAAAAGCTTGTTTTCAAATTTTGGCTTGATCATTCAGATGGTGGTAAAGATTATGGAGTGTTTGAGCTTAAATTTCGATTTTTYCCCCTAACCACACGAACGGCAATTGGTTTATCTTTTCATCAAACGAAAAAAACACACCGAGGGAAGTCGTTTTTAGATAAATATTAGATATAGTCCCTATTTCCTAGTCAGAAAAAAAACCATTATTAACATAAGTAACATTTGTGGAATATATTCAAACCTCGCAATCTTTTCGAGAATTTCTTTTTATCGTAGTTTAAGAAAAATTGCTTATTTTTAGTTGAAATTAAGAGAAATAGTTTCTGTGTTTTCTGTAAGCTGTATTGCTCTTTGTTAGCCCACAAGCGCGTGGCTTCAGTGTAGTGCATAATGAAGTTTTATTATCGTCCCTGTAATCGATATTAGCGTGAAGTCATTGGCTCTTGGAAGTCTCATTCAGCGGTCGTTACGCGATCATTTATAAAACCTTCGGAAGGTAATACCAAAGCAACCGAGCATCTTAAATTTAATTAAACGGAGTAAAAGCTTCTCTCGGTATCTTCGCTTTTGATTGGCTGGTTTTGAAGTCGCCACCTGTTTTAGGCGCTGTGTCGTTTTCTAGCTTTAGCACAATGTTTTGACTTGAAACGAGTGAATTACAAGTCAGCACTTCTCAATGGAAGAGACGTTTGTTTTTATTACTGGCATTTGAAAGACCATTCAGTTTAAGTTTCTTTTGATATGGAGCTTGTTGTAAGTCGGTCCTTATACCAAAGACCGCCATCCACTTACATTCATTCATAGTTAGTGGCGTACTCGCTCAACATGCACAAGTTATCCGTTGCACTTCCCTCTCAGCGAGGGAAACACTTGCAGCAGCACATTGCACTTGGGGTAGTCTTCCTCATGATTCTTTGTGTTGAACTTTGTAAACCTTCAGGAGACGTGAATGGTGACCGTTCATCAACAGTTTTGCCACCATTACAAACATCAGCACCAGAGGGCTCGCTTCTCAAGACCAATATACCTACATCTACGCCACGGTTAAGCGAAGACAGAATCAAGTCTCGTACGAGCAAAATTACTGATCATACATCTTCTAAAACCGGAGGAAAGAGCTCAGAAAGCGGATTAATTCGAGTCTATGGCAATAGGTCTAAATCTATGAGTACAATTAATCAAGATGGAAGCGAGCTTCCCAGTGAAAAAACAAGGGGTTCTACTGAATATGATCCGAAAACTGTCGCTACTAGTACAGGAGCTGGGTTGAAATCTTTAATTGACGCTAATGCTGACGGAAGTAAATCCAAGCCATCGAAATCCTTAAGTATATTGTTGCTGCATTCGATGAACGAGAAGAGTTTCTGGCACGATCAGAAGAAAAGTGCTATTCTGCAAACTACCGACAACACACATGATGCCCGGAAGTCTACGAAAACTACGATTACAAACCTATTGCCTTCGCAAAAACCCGATGAGACTATCAAGACAACACGGATGACACTCTTTCCCAGTCCCTCTATAAAATCTAAAGGTAAACCGCCAATTTCATCTCATTTTACAGGTTCTGTAGCGGTTACCCAGAGAAGTATTATTCGCCCAGAAGCAAGTCCGTCCTTTATAGGTCCTCATGAGATTCATACTGCAGGTTTTGGTTCCCAGACTGTGTTATTACAACGTGATGTGTCTAAAACGCAAAGCCAGAGAATGCCAAATGTTTCACCAACTCCAACGCCGTACCCTACAGTCCCGAAACCTCAGTTGTGCGATGTAGGGCTAAGTAAGTCATGTATTTGTATGAACTGCCAGGAAAATACGGACCAGACACTCGCATGCTGTACTGATGTGATCGGACCGGAGAAGCTTAATGAAGCAGTTGTGCTTGAAATCACCTCGATATCTGTACTAGACTTCCTTGCCAAGCAGCCTACGTTAAAGATATTATTAGGTGAAATTGTTGCTGATTATTGCACCCAAACATCGTGCATTCAAGATATTCAGTCCAAAAGGTTGAAAAGGAATGTAATTGGTGATGAAAGTGCGCAAAATAGTGGTGTAAAAGAGTCCGAACAGTTTATTGACACAATAAGACCTTATCCTCCTAGGGATTTGCCCACTAAGAGTCTGTTAACAACGACAATTACTCCCTCCAAAGCGAGACCTACGAATGTAAAAGTAGTAGTGTTCAAATTTGCGCCAAATTCTGCTCACGGTCAAAAACTTTCAACGGGACTTTTCGTGACGGTTACTTCTATTGTTGGTGGAATCAACAGAACTTACGTTCTCAAAGCCGATGTTCTAGCAGGACTTGTTCGCCGCAAAAGAGACGTGTTCAAGAGAAAGYTAAATATAACGATTGACTCTGTGATGACATGGAAAAACTGGCAAGTTACAGTGAGTAGCAAACCGAGGGTGGCCGACTCTACGACATCATCTGGATTTACTCCGTCCGTTGGAGCATCAGCTACACCAGGTAGGGCATCACCCGGTAGGCCGGGGGGGCACACAGGGTGTGACCCATTATTTTGGTACAGCTCCACTTTAGTCGTCACTTTAAAGACCGCAGGGTCATTGAAGTTTCCATGACAACAATCGAACGCACGCCCTGTGTGAGCCCCCTTAACCCACATAACTTGGTCGGTGGGCTACCCTGGTGCCATTTTATCAATTTTTGGAGATTATTCTGGAAATTTTTATTTCAATGAGTCAATCAAGTGGATTGGGGCTCTCACAGAACGTGTTCAGCTTGTGGCAAGTGGGCTGTATCTCAATATCCCGCCCGCACGCCCACCGGCTGTTTAATCTTATTGAAATTAATTATCTAGCATGCCTCAATATATCTATAAATACATTGGCATTTAAAAACGTATACGAAATTCGATTCACTTCTCTTAAAGTTAATGGAATTAATGAAGTCAATTTTTTCAAATCTATTTGTCTTAAGACTTCATCTGACACATAGCTAAATTCACTTACATGCGCACATGTTCACATCATTGCGGTTATTCATCACCTTCTACAAAGATTCCAAAAAAATCCCCTGGGCATATTATATTCTTCCACTTAATACTCTTAATGTCTCCAGCTTTGAACACAGTAATTCATTACTTTTATTTGATATTTTTATTTATTCATTTATTTATTTATTTATTTATTCATTTATTTATTTATTAGTTAGTTAATCGATTTGCGTTTTGCCATCACGGATGGCAGTTTTTTGGCGCGATGGCATCATGTGTAGTTAGTTAGTCGTGAGCTAATAAATCTAATAATAATTTAATAAGCACAATCCTTGAACGCACACGAAAACACCGTAATTCTAAAAAAATGCACGTTAAAGATAAAACAGCACCTTATAAAAACTGCTTATAAAAATCCACGTTGTTTCCGTATTCGTGCATATTTAAACCCTGTTAATCAAAAGGTAGATGTATGATGAAGTATGCATGCATGACAGGCAGTTTGTTACTGTCATTGTAGTTTGAAGTGATATTTTATAATATATATTCAGCTGATGAAGTAAGAAAGAACGAACGGACGGACGGATGGACGAACGAACGAACGAAAGAAAGAAAGAAAGAAAGAAAGAAAGAAAGAAAGAAAGAAAGAAAGAAAGAAAGAAAGAAAGAAAGAAAAAAAGAAAGAAAAATAAATTTCAGCAGTATTTTTGAAATAGCTAAAAGTATTTCTACAAAAGGTGGAAAAGGAACAGATAGCTGTACTTTGTAATGCTTCGTGGCTTATAGTTTAGCAAGCGTGCGCTGATTCCACATGAACGTTTTGAAAAAGCACTTSTACTACTCATCACGTTCTACTATTTTAGGCCAATTGCATCACAAAAATTCTAAATTTACCTCGTCTAACGAAAAAACATCCCAGGATTAAGTAAATCTTAAAATGTTTCAAGAGACACTCACCGAGCACAACACGCAAAATGTTTGTATAGTGTTGTAGCACTAAYCGTCTAAAGAATATGGCGCAATAATGTTTTGAACTAGACACTTGGAAGTACTCAAAGTGATTACAGCTCACAAGGGGTTTACAGCTCCAGGGGTTCTTACGTTGCGGCAAAGGTTTAAGATTTGGCCGCTAATTCATKGGAAATTAAGTGCAATTTACTATTTAATCAACCCAAGTAGCTTGGGAAATCATTTTTATCTAAATTGATGGTGGAGTACTTTAGTGAATATTGAAGTGTGCTCTTTGAGTCTATCTGGATTTGTTTAACGATGTTGACCTTGGATGAAGATTTAGAGAGAAAATAGGCCTCTTTACATTAGGCGTAATGTTTTCCCATAAAAATAAATACACCTTTTTACCTTAGGTCGGCGTGATGTTTTCCCATTTCAGACCACGCGTAATTCTCCTGAGAATAAGATTGTTTGTTTGAGTTGTATCCATACTCATGTGTCTTCTCATGTACAACTGAGCACAAACCTTAATCAAAGAAATGATACTCTAGGGGATGACACGTGGTCTGAAATGAGAAAACATTACGCCCAAGGTAAAGAGCTCTATTGAAATCAAACCCGTATGACTCACTACATTCTACATAGGATGTTGTCACGTGATACAATGAACAGAACACGTGACTTACCTGTAAGCGGTCTAGTTCGCATGTTGTTGTTATATGTCCGCAGTTTTGTATATGTAGCTTGGTAAATTGTTTCGTTTGATTTTGTATTATTTTGCTTCGGGCTCATAAATAATTTCACATGCATGCAGCTGCAATTTTAGTTAAATTGCTAACAACACCATTGGATTACAGCTTCTCTGTATTTATGTTCTGTATTTGGACCTCCGCTTTCCCTTGGTCATACTGTTTTCCCATTTCAGACCACATKTCATTCCCTAGAGTATCATTTCTTTGTTTAACGGTTGAGCATGAGAAGACACATGAATATGGATATAACTCAAACAGAGAATCTTAACCTAAAGAGAATGACACGTGGTCTGAATTGGGAAAGCACTAATGTAAAAAGGTCTTTTGGTTCGAACTAAAGCTAAATCTTTGCATTTGGAATCCAGCAATACAGAAATGCAAACAAACTGCCCGCCTAGAAGTTGCGTAGGCATTGTCATATATGTTTGTTTCGAGGTCGATGAAAAAACTGGGTCGAGTTTGCATTACAATGCATTGTGGGACTGTTTAAGGGGACATATTTCCAAGATGGCGTCTTACAATGCATTGTAATGCCAACACAGTATTACTGAACACATAAAAATCCATTAAAAGTTAATCATGAATTTTTGCGTAATGTAAATTTAACATAATATAAAAATATAAAGATATTAATTTAGTAACTTTTTCAATGAATAGAAACTCAATAATACATGTATGGTTATTTACTGGATTTCTTTCAGCTGACACGCCGGGACCTCCAAGCGTGGAAGGACAGGAGGGACGTAACTCTACGACTAACATGTCACGTGGTACATTCATTATTGTACTCGTGACAGGGATTGGCGGCTTTGTTGTGCTGGCCATTATAATCATCTATATGCTTGTCAAGTTCCTAAGGTAAGTGCATCAGCTCTGCTAAGGTACGATATAACGATTCCCGGCCTTGTTCCAGTGGGAATTTACGAATCACGAAGACATGGCAGCCATGCTGGTGACATAACAATACTCCAGTTTCGAATTCTCTGTTGCTCAGAGTTAGCCCCGATTTGTGTAGATTATTCAGTGAAGGCCCGCTTACTTCCAAAGTGTTTAAGGTATCAGAAGGGTCCCCTATTAACCCTATAGGCGCTACCTCAAATTGTCCCTGGGTTTTACAATATTTTGCCATGAAAGTTCACATTTTCTGAAAGTTAAATAAACGTCCTTTTCGAAAATTCATTTAGAATTGTCTGTTTTGGAACATCAAAGACTTTTGGGATGTGTTGCTAAAGGAGGATCGTCTTGCCTTTCTATATTTAATTCACCATCACCAAAACAGAACTCGCGGGAATTGTTTTCTGTCTACACAGTATTACACGCATACAAATACGTGATTTTGAAATTCTCTTTCTCTGCGTATATCTGTGCGTAACCAAGATAAGGATCTCGAAATGCCATAAATTCCATCTACACACCATTTAAGGCATTACTTATACAAGCTCCATAGAATTAATATCAAACCTTAATTTACTTCTTAGGCGTATGAAAGGAGAATTTGTACCTGATAAGATTTACCCCAATGAACAGAAAGCAAACGGCGGSTCTGATCAGTTGATACCTTCATTTGTTGATCCCTCGACACCAAGAATAACAGACGTACCAAAGAAAACTGTAAGAACAGGAGGAGGAGGAGGGTCTTCCGGCGCAGGAGGAGTACAAGGGTCCGGGGGTGGCAAGAAGAGTAAGAAACCTATGGGAGTCAAGGTTACTTACAAGCCACCAAAATGGGATTAAAGTTGTTGTTATAGGAATTAGAATCATGGGTGAGTGAATAATGTATTTATATTAAAAAACGTGTTGGCGCACCACACCACATCACACCGCACCACGTCACACTTCATTACTACCCTGCGCACCACACCACACCACATYACATCTCATCTTACCGCACCGATACTATACTGTAGCGCAACACATCACATCCCGCCGCACCACAACTCATCACCTTGCGCACCACATTACATCACACCGCACCACGTCACACTTCATTACTACCTACAAAGCATTTCGCTTTTGTATCACAGCGTGGGACAATCACAACAGAGCTAGGCTCCAAACTAAGTGAAAGCCCAAAGATCGAATTAGAATTTAGAAGTTTATTTTTGAGGAGGGAGGAAAACCGGAGAACCCGGAGAAAAACCCTCGAACCTGCGCACCACATCACATCACATCGCACCGCACCGATACTATACTCACAAACTATCACGTCACATCACACCCAGCACACCTCATTATACCTTGCGCACCACATCATATCACATCACATCGCACTCCMCCGACCACACCTCATTATACCTTGCGCACCTCATCATATCACACCGTACCACACTTTACTGTAGCGCAATCACATCACATCACATCACATCAAACCACACCTCATAATACCTTGTGCATCAATGCACGCACCGATAATCATTTCTACTTTGCTAATACCCATTGTTAAATTTTTCTGTTTAGAAGATGGTAATTGTACTTCATTGAGTTTTATTGAATCAGAAGAGTTACATGGACTTTACAACTTCTTCAGATGGAATCAAAATCAAAGATGCAAAACAGCAAGTAAAAGCACTTGGGGCGCATGCGTAAATCTGGTTAGCCTTGCATCCAAAATGCACTGGCGTTGTTTTGCCAATTGAACTTCTAATGAAAGAGGCTGTCATCATGAGACATTAAAAATGATATTTATAAATATGCACTTACCTAATAGGTATGAAGATTATGATCAGGTAATGATCAAATATTTGTTTAAAGCTGTAATTTATTTATCCGGCAATCCTTGCAGCAGGTTTGCATACCCATAATTACTTGGGAACTATGATTAGATTGCAAGCAAAATTAAGCAAACGTAAAATTGAATGAAACCAAAGAATTTGAACATCTACTTAGAGAAATTCTTGGTAAATTAAGTGGCATAAATCAAATTGCACGTCGATAAAATTCGTATCAAATTAAAATTCACGCTGCACGTACAGAGATTAGAGAAKCTATAATTTTCTCTTTGTTGTACTAATGTAAAGATATATTTGTGCATCTTGTGCAACGACTTTATTTTTATATATGATTAGAAATCAATGTGTGCTAGGTAAAAATGGCCTTGAGTGGTAAGTATAAGGCCTGTGGATTCTTTTTTTACAGCGAATAATCGTAATTCTWGGAGGTAGATAGAATAGACCTCTTCGGCTCTGACGTAATGTTTTCCCATTTCACATCACATGTCATTCCCTACATTATCATTTCTTTGTTTAAGGTTTGCGCTCGGTTGCACACGAGAAGACACATGAATATAACTATGTGGATACAGCTCAAACAAGGATCTTATTCTCAAGGGAATGACACGTGGTCTGAAATAGGAAGAAGAGGTCTATTGCTCTTAGTCTATTTATGATGATTMCTTTCTCTTGACTTCGTCCTCTCCCCCTTTTCAACTCTCCCCGCAACAACCACAACTCCACCAAGTACTGCAGGCTAGTTTTATAAAGTGGATTAAGATATTTTATAGATGAACGTTGAGTATGGCTGTATGGCTATCTCACTTGCTTTAATGGTCCGTTGATAAAACTGAACAGCAGTCATGTTGTTCATTTAAGTAGATAGTTACGTTCCTCGTAGAAGACTTGATGAACAAAGTTAGGTGCGTGGGAATTTGTTGAGTTTCACTTGACGGTAGTTCMTGTCATGTACACAATGTTCATTAGCTGAATCACAAGCTTCAATAGAATTCTTTTTACTAACACCAAATGGTGGTCAGTGTTTGACCAGCAATTACAGATAATGAGAGATAATGAGATTCAAAGACTTTTTAGCTGATTGAAGCCCAGTATCAGGGAATCAATGGCTCAATTACCACAGGGATCCCAGTCTGGATTTTGGTTGGTAGCACGAAAACCAAACCTGGGATCTCTGTGGAATTTCCTCACTTGGAAATGTAATGATAGTAATGTAAGTAAATAATTACTAATTATTAATTAATTATTAATTAATCACACACACAAAATTAAATTTTACAATTGAGCTTTTTCTACTTCAGACCTCACGACAGTAGGAATTATAAAAAAATCATACTTAATGGAATGAAATGTGGTCTGAAATGGGCCACCAATACGACCAATGTAAAAGGGTTTAAAAAACAATGTTTTTCTTGTTTTTTTCCTTCCATTGAATCAGAAGTGTGTGGCATGATTATCATGTCATATTGTTCGAGTCATCCTGTATGGTCGATGCAATCGACGCCTAATTTATCTTACGTAAGAGTAAGGTACATCTCATGGCACAGAAACTTTGTCCTTGCTTGGTCCTAGCCTAACCTATCGCACTTTTAACTAATCAGCTATCTTTTATGGAAATCTTTAGTGTCGTCCTAACCTCCTCCGAACGCAACTCTGGTTGGGATTTTTGGGAAATGATCGTGAATTCTGTGGTTTTAAAAGAATCTGGTTGTGTATTCCTGGGTCGAGGAAAAAAAGGAATGGGGGTCTTCCTCAGTCTCTAGCCTACCTGCGCGTTCCACAGGGTCCCCAATGCCCAAATCCTAAAGTTGCATGCGGAGAAGGCTACGTCTGACCTAAAAGCCGATCAAAAGAAATACGTCTGCAAAACGTATGCTTAACTTATTTACACATAACATGGGGAAGCTATTTCGAAATGAAGCAAGATTTTTTAGTTTACTGGTGACCAAACTCATTATTTAGGAAATATCTCAACTAATTATAAACTGCATGAAGAATAAGCTGTTACAGTAACTATGGAAACTAACGAGGTTAATCACTCCTAAAAATTGTACGAGGGTAAAACATCTGCGCATGCGTGTAACCCTAATGTTCAATTTATAGTTCCAAACCCTTTAGTTACGGTTGCTATGTCCAGCACAAGCTTTAAAAATACATTATTTAAATAAAACTTTGAAAAGCAAGAATATAATATTGTGTTTTTATCAGTTTTTACCAGCCCAAGAAATTTCTGTTGGACTTGGACGCGGTGGGTCCTTGTAAATCTCGTAGCTGTTGATATATGATTTTACTTTCACCGGGGATTAATTCATTATGGTATTTTTAGTTTCGCAAGAAATTCTCGGAAAGAAATCTTTTAAGGAGGCTACTACATACACCATAAAGAGCATGCGCAGTTGTTTTCTTCTCGCGTTAGCTTTTCTAAATTAATGATAACGAAAGGTTGAGAATTGCAACAATATGGAGTTAATATTAATAGAAAAGTTGATAAAATAAAGCTGTTAAGCAAAACCATCTTACTGTTATGTAACTAGTTTCGGTTCTACTCAATATGGCCGAGGTAGCCTGGATACTTTGCATTTTTATCAGCATCTTGAAACACTCTTTGGGATGCTATGTGTAATGGAGGGCACACTCACAGATGTTTTGGTTGAAACCCTGAAACTACCTCTGGTCAAATCTAAGTCAGGGCACGGCTAAATCACAGATCAAACCCGAAAACAACCTCTGGGCTGATCAAAGTCGAGGCATGGCTAACTCACAGGTCGAACCCTGAAACAACCTCTGGGCTGACCAAAGTCAGGGCACGGCTAACTCACAGATCGAACCCCCCTCTGGGATGATCAAAGAAGGGGCATGGCTAACTCTAACACATATTGAACCCTAAAACAACATCTGGTTCGATCTAATTCAAAGCACTGCTGACAACTCACAGATCGTATTGAAATTTAGTTTTTTTTTCACTGAGGGGAAAACCAGAGAAACCCGGAACTTCCGGTGRCATTTCGCCGACATTCCGTCCTTTTTACTCGCTGGGATCTTGAGCCCCACCTGACAACCTTGAGCACATACATATTCGTTGCATCTTTACACAAGATATACCGGGATTACCTAGGTAACATAAGGGAATTAAAGCACTATGTGCAGATAGACGACCATGAAGGAGGGCGGAGGATGCAGAACCATGCGGGATCTAGGATCTGCGTCATACTTTTAAGTAATACCATGGCACGAGGGGAATTAGTGATTAAAATTTCCCGAATAACGAGGGAAAATTTGTGGAATAAAACAAAAATAGAATCTAAAAACAAGTTGTCATTTTCAATTTATGTTATGACTGAGCATGCGCAGATTTGAGGAAGCGTCCCACATGGAAACCGTGCAGTAATATCATAAGTAGGATACGTTGTAATCGATTCAATTGCAGGGGCAATGAGTTGTCCTTGAGGAAGACGAGCCATTGTCTTCTGAATTTCCCTCGTGCATAGAACATGAGGGAAATTTAAAAGACAACGAAATCCTTTGTCTTTTACTAAATTTCACTACATTTAATATATGCGTCAGGGAAATTTAGTAAAAGACAAAGGATTTCATTGTCTTCTAAATTTCCCTCATGTTCTATGCATGCGGGAAATTCGGAAGCCCTCGGAAGACAAAAGAATCCGATGTGATCATGGTATTACAAGAAACAATCAAGCCCAAGATGGGATTCGAACCCACGACCCTCCGCAATCTATTCATGCAGCTGATATAGGGGAAAATGTAGCCAATCAGGATCAAGAAATGTGCAAAAATGAGGTCACCTTCCTAAAATTCAGTAGATTTCCAGGCCACCATATAAAATGAGAAAAAATAACTTTGCTAATAAGCGCTCTTAATAAAAGTGATATAATTACAATAAATGCTGTTGTTATGGACGATTGACGACTCTAAAAACTCCAGTGTATCCTCGAACCAGGAGTTGCTCGTTTTGTTGTTTCTAATTCTTGCTTTTTTTTTACCGACCTCAGAAGTGAGGCTAAGCCCTCATACAAGGGAGTTTTAAGAGTCAGGAGTTGCTCGTTTTGTTGTTTCTAATTCTTGCTTTTTTACCGCCCTCACAAGTAAGGATAAGCTGGCATACGATGGAATTTTAAGAATCGTCAATATTTTTATTGTAACGGCAGCCATGTTTTTGAGTTTTTCGCTGGTCAATTTTCGCAGGCTTCGATGACGTCATTCCTTGATCACTGAGATCATCTGGCCATGTTTGTACATCAATATATGCATAACCTTTATTAGGTAGGTCCAGCTTTATTAAGAATACTTATTATTAGAAGATAAAATAAAAACACATTGAACTCAAGAATCGGAAGCGGCTTCTTTTGAAATAAAATAGAAAATGAAGAAAAATAAAAGCGTTGATTGAATTCAACAAAAACCTTTTTATTCGCTTGTTTTACTGCTTGGGTTGCCTCTAGCGATGGAAGGGCCGGCAGATCCGGGGGGAGGGGGGTGGATTTGGTGTCTATTCACTCCCTGCCCCCTTTGAATTTGAAAAAAAATGAAAAAAAAAAAGATAATGTAAGTCCTACATATAACGCCTTTCTATTGCAAAACTAAAACTAAAAATACACAACAAAGTTTGCTACACCAAGAAAGACCCTATTTCTGACAACAACAAAAAAGTACTTGAATGGAGCATTTGCCTTTCGTGTTCTAGAGGATATATTATCAGTTTTTGACAATCTTTTTACGGATTGGAGTGGAGTGGCATTACCCTAGTGGTACTTGCTTATTAAGAGTGCTCTTCATACAAACCATCGTTCAAGAAGGTATCGATTACGGTGATTAATTTTAAGAGAGAAAGAAATAAACCCTATTAACGGTAAATAAGTATACTTGTAATTGGACCGAACTACTGAAGAAATGGGGAGGAAAGAATGAAAAAGACTCGTAGATACTCGTAGATGCGGTGTTTCACGGAATGACTAATATAGTTCATATAAGGGATTGATGGCAGCCATGTTATTTTTTCCATATTCATGAAACATTGATYAAGGGAATGAAGTTTACGCCATGAAATGGCAAATATTGTTATCTATGGAAGCTATGTCTATTAGCCATTGACATTGTAGTGCATCGCGGGATAGTTTTAGGGGACGAAATACACGCCGTCCTGGAAATACGTCTCCTAAGACAGTCCCACAATGCAATACGTCTCCTAAGACAGT